TTCTCTCTCATGGATGTTTCTAACTCTGTCCCTCTCCCTTCCTCTCTGTAAAAAATAAATAAAATGTATTTTTAAAAACAGAATGAAGACAGGAAAACACCTGTACTGAGAGCACAGGACACGCAGCCCAGGCATTCAGAGCTCAGAGGAAGCGTGTGAGAGCGCTTGGGACATGCTGGTCCCCGAGGCTCAGCCCCGAGGCTTAGCAAGGAAGCCATTAGGGACACCCGGCTGGGCCTAATTGTTTTTAGAACGAGTGGTACTTTGTGTCACTGCTCAGCTGTGAATTCCCTGGCTTGGTCACCTTGTGTCACACAGTAGCTTAACCTACCCCGCTGTTACTCATGTACTGTATTTCTTCGTAGAGCCTCCTGGACACCTGTGAAGGAGCTGGTCTATAAATAAACTCCGCATCTCCACTTTTAATTATATAGAGAAAATAGTACGACTGTCACAGGAAATGAGTATAGAAAAAGCCACAATACTGAGCATTTGCTAGAAGCTCAAGCAACACATACTATGTATCAGGTCTGCTTTCAAACTGTTATTTCATTTTTCTATATTCAGCACAGTTGCTGGGTATGGGCCAAAAATCATGGAGGACACACAAGAAAATTTTGCAAAGGTTTTAGTATTTATTAAAATTAGGATAACTGCTGTATTTGCTTTGTAGAATAAGTTTAAGTAAAAAATAAGGCTTCATTTCCAGGATATTGAACTAAAAATAAGTTTAACATAATGAATTATTTATATATGCAAGACAATAAATATTTGCCGAGTGGAATTGAAACTATAGATGCTAAAAATGGAGGAAAAAAACACCACTTTTACTAACGGTAGAGTACATGAACCAATACACATTAAAAAATTCTATCGGTACAAAAAACAGAACACTCTTTTATTCATAAAATCATTGGGATCCAGCGAGAAAAATTTCCTCTCAGATTTTTAAAAATCAGAGATCACACAATCCTTGGGCTATCATCTTAACTGAATAAGGAAATAAATGTTTACTAACCTCTAAATCACCATTGTGAAATGATGACTAATAAACTAGCAAAACAGGCTTTCCCCAAAGTTAATGAAATCAATGTTTGTTTTTATATTTCAAAGGAACGACCAAAGTTAACTTTTCATTAGTGACAGTCAACACATTTGCAATGGTTTGAGAGCCCAAACATAGAGATATCTGCTCAGTTGTAGTGACAAATCACAGTAGTCACCTTCCCATGGTTAGGTTATGCCATTGCCACGTTTTGTTTTCACAGTAAGTAAATCGGTGATAAAAGTTCACAATAAATCATAAAGATAACAACTCTATGAGTATTCATTTAAACAGTCCAGAGAAAAATCCCAGGCTTTTCAAATATTTTCACACAGTGTGAACTGGTCTGCTGTGTACAGCATGAGAGAGACTTGGTAGGCCCAGTTCATATAATCAGGTCCTAGAGTTATACATGTTTTTTAACATTTACAATTACAAAGCAAATCTAACAGTTTCATAACCACCACAATGCATAAAGACGAAACCAAAGGTACCAGAAGTTCTGTATAATTATTCAATAACAGTTGTTGAGCCTTGTAACTTTTCAGGTTTTTTAAAAATCAGAAATTAAACCCTTGTTGCATATTTCGTTCTAAAATTCAGAATAATGCCAGTCCTTAATTATAATTGGTGATCCTTTCTAAAAATTTTTATTTTGTGATTTATAATTTTTCAATTATAGTTGACATACAATATAATATTAGTTTCAGGCACATACCCCAGTGATTAGACATTACATAATTTCCCAATAAATCTCGTACCCATCTGACATCATACATAGTTATTAGATTGATTATATTCCCTATGCTGTACTTCCCATCCCTGTGATCATTATGTAACTACCAGTTTGTATTTCTTAAACCTTTTTCACTTATTCTCCTCAAACCCCTCTCATTTGGCAATCATAAAAAATGTTCTCTTTATCTAGGAGTCTGTTTCTATTCTGGCTGGTTTACTTTGATTTTTAGATTCAATTATTGACAGATATGTGTTTATTGCCATTTATTGTTCATACTTTTAATCTTTTTTTTCTTCGTGAAGATCCTTTCACAACATTTCATGAAATATTAGTTTGGTGGTGATGAACTCCTTTGGCTTTTTCTTGTCTGGGAAGCCAAGACAAGATTCTAAATGATAGCTTTGCTGGGTAGAGTAATCTTGGTTGTCAGTCCTTGCTTTTCATTACTATTTCTTGCCAATCCCTTCTGGCCTGCAAAGTTTACCTGAAAAATCCGCTGGTAGTCTTAGGGACGCTCCCTTGTAGGTAACTGCTTTTTTTCTGGCTGCTTTTAAGAGTCTTTGTCTTTCCCCTTTTGCATTTTAATTATGATGTGTTTGGTGTGGGTCTCTCTAGATTCATCCTGCTTGGGACTCTCTGCACTTCCCAGATTTGTACTATTTTCTTCATCAAGTTAGGCAAATTTTGTCATATTTCCTTAGACAGGTTTTCCATTTCTTGCTCTCTTCTCCCTTTGGCACCCCCAGTGCAAATGTTGATACACTTCAAGTTGTCCAGAGGCTCTTTACACTAGCTACGTTAATTTGGATTCTTTCTTTTCTTTCTTTTTTTTTTTTTTGCTTCCTTATAGTCCAAATTGCTGATCTGATTCTTGGCTTCACCTACTCGACTCTCGATTCCCTGTAAAGTAGTTGTCATTTCAGTGAGTGTATACTTCGTTTGTGACTCATTCTTTTTTATTGTTTTCATGTCCTTTTTCATGCTGTTGCAGGTCTGAATTCATAGAGCACCCTTATAACCAGTGTTTTGAACTCTGCACTGAGCAGATTGCTTGTCTCCGTTTTGTTTAGTGTTTTTCTGGGGTTTTGTTTGTTCTTTCCTTTGGGACGTTTTCTGGTCTCCTCATTCCGGCAGCCTCCTTGTGTTTGTGTCTGTGTATTAGATGGAGCTGCTACGTCTCCCGGGCATGGTGGAGTGGCTTTGTGTAGTAGGTGTCCTGTAGGGTCCAGGGGTGCCCTCCTCCCCCACTGTGGACCGTGGACACCCTCCTGTTGCAATTGAGCCTTGACTGCTGTTGGTACAGCAAGGGGAGGAACTTATCCTCAGGCCAATCAGCGGCAAGAACTGGCTGTGACCACGGTGGAGGATCAGATGTTGGGGCTTACACGGCAGAGCAGGACTTACTTCAGCAGGGCTTCAAAAGGACTCTGGGAGTATTTGCTTTTCCCGTTCCGCCTGATCCGTTCGACCCTGTGTGAGGCTGTCCACTCGGTGTGATGGCTCCGGAGCCTTCCAGGAGGTACAGGCCAAGGTTAGCTGCCACCGGTGTTCTGCCTGGGGCCTCCTGGCACCAATAGGAGCTGCAAATCGATCTGCAGATGACTGCTACTTGTGCTGGGCTTGGATGGCCCAGGTGAGGCCAAGCTATGAACCAACGCCAACTACCACTAGTGCTTGGCCTGGGGATACTTGGTCAAGATGTCAGTAAATGCTGCTTATTTGAGAGATTTTAGGGAAATCTGAAGCATGAGCCCAGACAGGCTCTTTGTACAGAAAAGCCACTGGAAACAGCCTGGGTGGGACTGAGAGTTGGGTGAGGCGGGTCTCAGGGAATCACCAGGGTGGGGCGAACAGTGATAACAAGGTTGATCGAGATTCAGATACGGCACTGCCCGATGGCTGTGTGTGTGTGGGAGGGAGACTCAGCAAAGAAACAATGGATTCTGCCAACACTTCTATCTGGTGGAAAGCCACCCCTCCAGACCTCACCCTGATGTCAGACCACTCAGTTCCTCCCCCGTAGGTCCCTGGTGCCTTTTGAGCTGCTGCCCTAGCAGGGGAGCTCAGAGGGAGGAGTCCGGATACATCCACGCCCAGGCCCTTTAGCAGGAACTGCCTGGGACTCCAGAAGCCCTCCATCTCCCTCAGTGGCAATCCCCCCAGCTGGGTTTTACAACCAGAGGTTTTGGGGACGTCCCTTCCTCGCACGGGGACCTTGGGCGAGGGGACCTGGTGTGGAGCGAGACCCCTCACTCCACAGCGGGGACCTCCACGGTCGAGATATCCCTCCCAATTTTTATCCACCTGTGGGGGTAAGACCAGCTCATTCAGTGTCTCTGCCTCTCCTACCCGTCTCCATGTGGCATCTTCTGCATATTCTTAGTTGTAAAACTCCCGTTCAGCTAGATTCCAGGCCGTGCTGAGCGATGGCTGTTCTGTAGTGTAGCTGTCATTCTGATGTGGTTGTGGGAGGGTGCAGGTACCACCCTTACCCGTGACGCCACCTTGACCAGAAGAAGCCTGTATTGATTTTTAAATGGTCCTTCCAGTTTATGCTTATATCACTGATTCGTTGAGATGACGAAAACGTTCAGAGATCAAGGAAGCACAAACTTTCTCAGAAGGCTGACCAACATAACAATCCTCTGCCAGACCCTAACGCTGTGAGACGTCACGGACTCCAAAGCAGGAGGAGGACCCGTGAGAAAGACAGCTTTTCGATGAGGTCCGCTCTTCACTTAATTCTTTCTGTCCAGCCTTCTGTCCAAAAGGACTCTGGGAGTATTTGCTTTTCCCGTTCCGCCTGATCCTTCTTTATGTAAAAGCTGAGTGTGTTTTCGTTGGCTTCGTTGGAGACGAGGCAATGCAGGCGAAAATTAGCACAGTGTGTGGAGAACTTCCATACGCCCGGACTCCTGACTCACCTTGGCTGAGGGTCAGACCCAAACGGAACGAACACCCTACTCTAGGGAGTGGAGGCAGCCGGCAAGTTACGATTTCTTATTGGAGGGCTACTTAGCAGGGAGGAAAGGGACAGGTCAGCGACCGAGTGTCAATGAAATGGATTCATGCCCAAAGACACTTTGACTTCTCCAATGAAGACCCGCCCCCTCCTACCCATGGTTACGGCGCAGTCCAGCCCGGTCCCCCGAGGGCGGGTGGGTGCCGGGCCCTCTTAGGTGCGGGAGGCCGGCCGGGGCGCCGGGCCGCTGAGCCTCAGTGCAGCTTGCTGTGCACGGGGTAGAGTAAGGCCATGTGTTCCGCCCCCTTGAAAGGCAGCTTCTCGTTGGAGTAATAGTGCACCACTTCCGGGATGCTGTCGAAGACGGCGCTCGTCTGGTCCAGGGTGTACTTGTTGTCTTTGGTCTGGGCCACGATGATGTGGACGCAGCCTTGGCTCGTCCTGGAATGAGACAGAATCAAGGAGGAGATTGAGTGAGGGCGCCAGGGGACCCCTCCTCGCTGGAAAGAACCCTGGTCAGATTCACAGGGGGGACAGGTTCTCGTCCATTCCCGGGATTGTGACAAACCAACATGGCCCTCAATAAATGTGTGTCCCTGCCGAAACCGGTTTGGCTCAGTGGATAGAGCTTCGGCCTGCAGACTGAAAGGTCCCAGGTTCGGTTCTGGTCAAGGGCATGTACCTTGGTTGCGGGCACATCCCCAGTAGGGGGTGTGCAAAAGGCAGCTGATGGATGATTCTCTCTCATCGATGTTTCTAACTCTCTATCCCTCTCTCTTCCTCTCTGTAGAAAATCAATAAAATATATTTAAAAATTTTAAAAAACAAAATGTTACAATTAAAAAAATAAAATAAATGTGTGTCCTGGAGTTGTTCATCCTTAGTCATCACACACAGGCCATCAGGTAACAAACAAACAGTCTAGTCCCGCCTGGTCCTCAAATTGCCAAATTACTGTGCTTAAGCCCAAGTATGAGACCACTAAGGTGAAGTTTAAACTCATATCCTTTTTTTTTAAAATGCATTTTATCGATTTTTCACAGAGAGGAAGAGAGAGGGATAGAGAGTTAGAAACATCGATGAGAGAGAATCATCGATCAGCTGCCTCTTGCACAGCCCCCGCCAGGAATGTGCCCGCAACCAAGGTACATGCCCTTGACCGGAATCAAACCTGGGACCTCTCAGTCCGCAGGCCTACGCTCTATCCACTGAGCCAAACTGGTCCCGGTCATTTTATTGATTTTTTACAGAGAGGAAAGGAGAGGATAGAGAGTTAGAAACATCGATGAGAGAGAAACATCGATTTAGCTGCCTCTTGCACACCTCCTACTGGGGATATGCCACAACCAAGGTACATGCCCTTGACTGGAATCGAACCTGGGACCCTTGAGTCTGCAGACCGACGCTCTGTCCACTGAGCCAGACCGGTTACGGCTAAACTCATATTCTTCATCACGGCTGAAAGGACACGTATAAGGTTTCCTCCTCCTTTCTTCCCCAAAGAATACATTAACAACATCAACAGCAAAACTGTTCCCGCCCCCCCTGCTTACCCCCGCCCCCCCTCCTGTCACTGCATCTCAATCTGGAAAGACTGCCCCTGGCTGTAGGGAATGACAGCGGGCACTGGAGGCTGAGACCGAACCCGCGAGCACTGTGTCAGGAACACAGCACAGCTATTCCTGGCATTGTGTATCTGGTGGCCTGTCCCGTTCTCCGAGCCGGCTGCTCACACACCCTCCCGCCCCAGCCTCTTTCCCCTCCAGCCTGATTGTTTCAGCTGCAGGGGCTCAGCTTCCTGAGGAAGGAAACGCCGTTAGGGCGCCTGACAATGATCCTCCAATATAGCACCGCTGGACTCGCGGGGCGATGAGAATTTCCATGATTCAGGCTCCACCGGGCCCCCCAGGCAAAAATGAACGCTCGGTGTGTAGTCAGACAGGGGAGGGATAGCGACTCAGCGTTTCCTTCTCCACCACAAGGAGCTGGTATCAGAGCGGCGCTTGGCATGGGAACAATCAGGGATCTGATTTATTAAAACCCCCGAACGCTAGGGGACGGATGAGAAATGACTGAATTATCCTGTCAGACGTGGTTCTTTTTATCGGGAGTTATTTCTCTGGGGAGAGGACCCGCTTTAGATTGGGGAAGGTAAGGTACAAACTGACTCATGCACCGTGACAATGACACAGGATAGCGAGGCATTCACCCCACACCCCCTTTTGCATCCTAATGAGAGCATTTCATACTCTGTCGTCCAAGCAAATGCATTTTACTAGGTGGCAATGCATGCCCCCCTGTGGACTATCTTGAAATGATATCTTTTTTTATCTGGTCATCTAATCCACGACAGGACAGACTGTCCACTGCCCCCTCTCCCCCTCCACCCCCACCCCACGGGAGAGCCCCGAGGCCGCCACACTCACTTCAGTGCAATGGAGTACCGACTGGTCCCGGACTCGCTGTTCCGAACCAGGTAGCCAGCTTCTTTGCAGGGCTGGAGCCGGCTCTCAGCCTCGGCACGGGTGATGGCGCCGTGGTACCAGCTGAAAAACGGGGTGGTGGTGGGGAGAGACACCACGAGCGTCAGAGCAGAAATCCAGGCAGGTCTGGCTCCACAGAGCGTCATGTGACTCGCACGCCTCGTAGGAGCGCCAGGGCCCAGACCAGACCCCGCTCCCCGCTTAGGACGGACGGACGAGCTGCCGCTCTGGTGACCCTGGGCCTCCAAACCCACCCATCCCCCGAGAGGGCGCTCCCCGGGCTGTGTCATCACTCCATCGCGGGGAACGAAACTTATTATTTATTTTTAAAAAAATATATTTTGTTGGTTTTTTTTTACAGAGAGGAAGGGAGGGGGATAGAAAGTCAGAAACATCGACGAGAGAGAATCATCGACCAGCTGCCTCCTGCACACACCCGCTACCGGGGATGTGCCCGCAACCCAGGTACATGCCCTTGACCGGAATCGAACCCGGGACCTTTCAGTCCGCAGGCCGACGCTCTACCCACTGAGCCACACCGGTTTCGGCAGGGAATGACATTGAAAACCAGGCTCTGGGTACAGGGGCCCTGGGCTTTGCAAGTGGGCTTTCCTCCATCAGCCCCTCACAGCCCCATAGCCCTGGGACACGGCCCGTGCTCCGCCGCCCGGGCTGGGACGGAGCGCCCCCGCTGTCTGTGCGGGAGACTCACGGCTGCTTGTCCAGCGGCAGGCCCGGGTCCACGCGCTCGCCCTCGCCGTGGTCGGGGAGCGCCGGCTTCAGGATCTTCTGGGTCCAGCTCTTCTGCCGGTGGTGCTGCCTCGCGGGCTCCTCCCTGGGGGAAGGCCTCTCGGAGCCTTCGAACTGAACTGGAAGGAAGGCCCCGTTTAACGTCCGAGGCCCCGAGGCGGGCCGCCGGGAACGTGCAGAGAACAAACCCCCGCCTCTGCCTCCCCTTCCGCCTCCCCTTAGGCCTCCCCTTCGGCCTCCCCTCGGCCTCCCCTTCGGCCTCCGCCTCGGCCTCCCCTTCGGCCTCCGCCTCGGCCTCCCCTTCGGCCTCCACCTCTGCCTCCCCTTCGGCCTCCGCCTCTGCCTCCCCTTCGGCCTCCGCCTCTGCCTCCCCTTCGGCCTCCCCTTCGGCCTCCGCCTCTGCCTCCCCTTCGGCCTCCCCTTCGGCCTCCGCCTCTGCCTCCCCTTCAGCCTCCCCTTCGGCCTCCGCCTCTGCCTCCCCTTCAGCCTCCCCTTCGGCCTCCCCTCCGGCCTCCGCCTCTGCCTCCCCTTCGGCCTCCCCTCCGGCCTCCGCCTCTGCCTCCCCTTCGGCCTCCGCCTCTGCCTCCCCTTCGGCCTCCCCTTGGTCTCCCCTTCAGCCTCCCCTCGGCGAGCTCGCACACTCTGCGAACACCCCCCTCCCCCGCCCCCGCCGCCCCCGCCTGTGGTATCTGATCACACCAGAGCACCCACCGATAGCTCCTTGCCCCGCACGGCACTCATCGGCGTGGGACAGTTTTAGAATAGGAAAGAAGCCGAAGCCGGTGTGGCTCAGTGGATAGGCGTCGGCCTGCGGACTGAAAGGTCCCGGGTTCGATTCCAGTCAAGGGCATGTGCCTTGGTTGTTGGCATATCCCCGGTGGGGGGTGTGCGGGAGGCAGCTGATCCATGTTTCTCTCTCATCGATGTTTCTAACTCTCTGTCCCTCTCTCTTCCTTTCTGTAAAAAAAAAATCAATACAAGTATATTTTTTGAAAAAGAATATGAAAGAAAACCCACTTTAATATGTTTCAGCACGTGGCTTTAGGAAAAAAAAATGCTTAAGTTCTTGTATATTTAGAGGAAAAGACTACACAAAGTTACAGGTGACGATTCCTTGCAAGAGTCTGTATCCCTCTGTGAAATCAGGCTTTTACCATGAAATAGTAAAACAAAAAGAAAAGTCAATGGCGAAGCAGGACGCCACTGCTGAAGGGCGCCTTACCGATCGATGCCAGGCCATGGAGCCCGGACAGAGGATAATGAGAGAAAACGGAAGGAAAATTCCAACGACGTGAAGGTTGGCTAGCAAACAGATTACCTTCCGTGTTCACCCTTTACACGAACCACATTTTCCTTTTTAATTTGAACACCAGGATACTTTCCCCATTGATTTTTTTTTTTTTTTTTTTTTTGGGAGCGTGGAAAGGAGGAGGGAAGGAGAGGAGTCGGGGAGGAGAGAGAGATACATTGAATGGTTGCCTCCCGCACAGGCCCTAACTGGGACGGGGGAATCGAACCTGCAACCCAGGTATGAGCCCTTGCCTGGAATTGAACCTGAAACTCTTCTGTGCCCAGGCTGGTACTCTAACCACCGGGCCACGCTGGCCAGGGCCACGAACTCCACTTTTCATCGCTAACACGGCTTGGCTCTTGGAGGGAAAAGACATCCCTCGCTTTACAAATCAAAGGCAAAAGAAATTCTGTGGCCGGCCAGGTGGAAAAACTGTGTCCCGAGAGAAGCAGGAGGGCGAATTACCTTTAATGCCTACCGACATCCTCTCACCTTCCTTGTAAGTTATTTAAAAAATTCACACGTAAAGAGCTGGCTCCTCCAGGAGGAAGAAGAGAAAAACAGCTGGCATCACCCCAGCTTCCCCCCCACCTCTGCCTGTAGCATCGGACGGGCACCGCCGGCCTGGGAACAGGGATTCTAACAGGTCGGAGGAGCGGTGCCAGGAGGAGTTACATAAGCTGCTCCCACGAGAAAGCCCCGGCGGCGATCAGACAGGTTTCCGATAGTCACTCGTGGCCTCTCCACGAGCTGTGCCCGGGAAGGGAAAGGAAAAGGAAAGCCGGAAGGATAAGGAGGACTGCGATGGGAAGGGCCCTTCTTTGGTCCTGGTTTTCCACCAGGCCCAACTCTTTTTATTATTATTAATATGTTTAATCGAGATTTTACAGAGAGGAAGAGAGAGGGATAGAGAGTCAGAAACATCGAGGAGAGAGAAACATCCATCAGCTGCCTCCTGCACACCCCCTTCTGGGGATGTGCCTGCAACCAAGGTGCATGCCCTTGACCGGAATCGAACCTGGGACCCTTGAGTCTGAAGGCCGATGCTCTATCCACTGAGCCAAACGGTTTCGCTAAGGCCCAATTCTTGTTTCCTCTACCCAACTCCTCAGAGAAGGAGACTTGCACTTGAGGACGAATAAAACATGGCAGTCGCCCAGTGGGCTAAGCTTTCCCGGCAGGACAGCAAAGAGCGAGGGACACGCCCCCTCACCTGACAGCCCCCCACCCCCGCCTGACAGCGTCCCCGCCTGACAGCCCCTCACCTGACAGCCCCCCACCCCCGCCTGACAGCGCCCCCATCTGACAGCGCCCCCCGACAGCCCCTCACCTGACAGCGCCCCCATCTGACAGCGCCCCCCCTGACAGCCTCCCGCCTGACAGCACCCCCCACCTAACAGCGCCCCCGCCTGACAGCCCCTCACCTGACAGCGCCCCCATCTGACAGCGCCCCCATCTGACAGTACCTCACCTGACAGCGCCCCCATCTGACAGCGCCCCTGCCTGATAGTCCCTCACCTGACAGCGCCCCCGCCTGACAGCCCCTCACCTGACAGCGCCCCCGCCTGACAGCCCCTCACCTGATAGCGCCCCCCTGGCAGCGCCCCCATCTGACAGCACCCCCGCCTGACAGCCCCTCACCTGACAGCGCCCCCGCCTGACAGCCCCTCACCTGACAGCCCCCCCATCTGACAGCCCCTCACCTGACAGCGCCCCCGCCTGACAGCGCCCCCGCCTGACAGCGCCCCTGCCTGACAGCGCCCCCATCTGACAGCACTCCCGCCTGACAGCACCTCACCTGATAGCGCCCCCCTGGCAGCGCCCCCATCTGACAGCACCCCCGCCTGACAGCCCCTCACCTGACAGCGCCCCCGCCTGACAGCGCCCCCATCTGACAGCACCTCACCTGACAGCACCCCTGCCTGACAGCCCCTCACCTGACAGCGTCCCCGCCTGACAGCCCCTCACCTGACAGCCCCTCACCTGACAGCCCCCGCCTGACAGCGCCCGCCTGCAGCCCCTCACCTGACAGCGCCCCCATCTGACAGTGCCCCTACCTGACAGCGCCCCCCCTGACAGCGCCTCCGCCTGACAGCGCCCCCACCTGACAGCGCCCCCACCTGACAGCGCCCGCCTGCAGCCCCTCACCTGACAGCGCCCGCACGATCTGCTCCTTCTTCCACTCCCAGGGCTGCTCGTACTCGGCCGCGGGCCTCTCGTCGTCCTGGGGCAGCCGGCCGTGGGTGTCGGGGGGCCGCGCCTTGCGCTCGGGGCCCCCCTCGGCCGCCGGCTCGTAGGGGGTGTCGTACAGCTGCGGCGGCTTCCCCAGCAGGTCCTTGGAGCTCCGCCTGCGGGCCAGCGCCTCAGGCTTGGCGCCCGGCTCCCCCGGCTCCCCGGGGCCGTCGAACAGCTGCAGGGCCTTCACCAGGGGGTCTTTGGATCCTCGGCGTCTGATTTCTGAAAAACACGCGGCCACGGAACGCCCTGAGAGAGGCTGCCAGGAACCGGGAGGAGCCAGCTGCCTCCCCCGGCTGTCTGTGTGGTGGGGGCAGGGACCACCAGCACGGTCCTACGGCTGCAGGAAGGAGCCCACAACCGCCTCCGGGAGCCTGGCCACATCATGGGACAAAGTCCCAAGAGCACTGGGCACGTCTGGAGACAGGTGTGCGCCTGGGAGCCGCCTACAGGGTGGGAGAACAGAAGTGTCCTGGGGCCACTTGCCCCGCTGTTCCTGGCCCCGTGTTGGCTGTGAGGATGATTTCCCTGCAGAGTTTTTACCTGTCAGGAGATCAAAGCATCTTAATAAAAACCAACGGAGTGTTAACTATATATTCAGAGCACCGGGCATTAGACATAGGTGGTTTCTTTCTTTCTTTTTAAAAAAAAAAATATTTTTAAATTGATTTTTTACAGAGTGAAGGATAGAGAGTTAGAAACATCGACCCAGCTGCCTCCTGCACACCCCCCACCTGGGATGTGCCCACAACCCCAGTACATGCCCCTGACCAGGATCGAACCCAGGACCCTTCCGTCTGTCTGCAGGCCGACGCTCTATCCACCGAGCCAAACCAGTTTCGGCAACATAGGTGGTTTCCACAGAATGGGGGAAGCTAGGCCCGTTCACAAATGACGCGGAACAGGCTAACCATGGCAGGATAAATAAAAGCAAAGGCCGTCCCGAGGGAAAACAAAAACGACCACACCGCTCACACGGATGGTCATGCACTGCGCGTTAAGCGCTGTTCCAGACACACGGTGGCGTGCGAGATGGGTCCTGTCAGCGCCCCCGTGTCACAGGAGAGAAATCCGAAGCGCCGGGAGCTTAGGGAAACTGCCCAAACCGTTCGGTGGCAGAGCCTGGACTCCAAACAGGAAGTGGGGCTCCGGAGCCACACTCTCCACCGCGGCCGGCACTTGGCCTGGCTCCAAGCAGAAGAGAAATGGAAGATGAGCTGACTCTGATAGAGGAGGTCACTTCCGGCGGAGGAAGCTGCACGAGGGAAGATATGGAGGCGGGGGCCACCCAGGGCCTGTTCCCAGAAAGGGGAGCTGAGAGATGAGTTCAGAGGACAGAGGCCAGGAGAGGGGAGAGGGGCCGGGAGAAGAAGCCAGAGGAGGAAGCGGGCCCGGGCACCAACGTGTAGAAAGACAAGGATGCAAAGGAAAATGATCCCACTTTTTTTTTTTTTTTTTTTTTTTTTTTTAAACAAGCAATAGAAGCAGCAGCCCTGCAGGTTGCTTGGTGTAAAAAACAGGCACAAAAAAATAAAAACAAAATAATAACCGTTACATTTCTGTTTTGTTGGGAGGTAATGCCATACAGTGTGTATAGGATGGAATAAGCCAGAACAGTATGGCCTGGACTTGGACAAAGAAGGTTGGGAAGCCCTGACCGGTGTGGCTCGGTGGATAGAGCGTCGGCCTGTGGACTCAGGGGCCCCGGGTTCAATTCCGGTCAAGGGCATGTACCTTGGTTGCGGGCACATCCCCAGTAGGAGGTGTGCAGGAGGCAGCTGATGGATGTTCCTCTCTCATCGATGTTTCCAACTCTCCTTTCCTCTCTGTAAAAAAAATCTATATCTATCTATCTATCATCTACCTATGACTTGAAAGGAGGAGTGATCAGGTAAGAAATGGATGCGAAAAACCTGAGGCAAATCCACCGGCCGCCAGCTAACCAGCCGGCCACCGTGGGAAAGCATCGGCAGCTCAACCAGGGCCGAGCCCAGAGGCCTTGGCAGGTAGTTAGTGCCTAAGGTCTGGTCAACGAGAGCGGGGGACATAGGCCAACAGCAGCACCATGTGGTTCTTCTCAATGCCCCTCCCTTCCTCTCTATAAAAAAAAAAAAAAAAATCAATAAAATATAATTAAAAAAATAATAATTGGATGGATGGTAGGAGAGACAGAGATCAAGGAAGGAGCTTTAGAACTTTTTCAAGAAGGTGGCAGCGTGGATCCGGAGCTCCGCAGGGAGGTGTTATGCGTCCAGGAGTTACTCGCCAATGGATCCCGTCAGTCCTGGGAGGATGGAAGCAGCCACCGGAGGAGAGGCGGCGGGCTGAAAGGGGATCCACGGAGACCGGGACTCCCTCCGGTCAGGTGAACGGAAGGAGAGGAGCCAGCAGAGAGGACTGCGAAGGAGGGGTCTGTGAGGAGGAGGAGGAGGAGGATCACACACCGCGAGGCCAAGGCGCTGAGGAGAAGGGCGGGGACGCTCTGTGGAGAGGCGGCATGGATTCTACCCGCCCCAGGGAAGACCTTTTTTTTGTGTTGATTTCAGAGAAGAAGGGAGAAGGGGGAAGGGCGGAGAGAGAGAGAGAAACACCATCGACGAGAGAGAATCATCCATCGGCTGCCTCCTGCACAACCCCCCCGGCGGGTCAAACCCGCAACCTGGTCATGTGCCCTGAGCGGAAACCGAGCCCAGGCCTCTGGCTCACAGGTCCATGCACACGGAGCGACTTCTTTCACAGGGAAAGGACAGCCGATGAAATGCTCAAGGGAAACGTTTTACCATCAGGACTCTACGTGAGAAAGGACAGAGCTTATTAACAGGGTGAGGATTTGATTCTGCTGGATGGGGGGGCCCTGACTGAGTTCCCTGGAATCACCCGGGAGTTTTAACGGCCACTGAGGCCTGGGTCCTATCAGCAGAGGTTCTGATCCAGTCGGTCTGGGGTCTGACCTGGGAGTGAGAGGTGCAAAAGCCTCGCCCTCCCCACCCCCAGGTGATGCTAATGGGAGGTGAGGCCTGAGCAGCACTCTCCCCCTCTCCGCCCCCCCCCCCCCGCCCGGCCCCTCCTGGCTCCCCAGTCCCTCTCGTTCTCCTGCTCTCCAGCACGCTGGCCATCGCTAGCCCCGAAGAGGAGCGGCCCCCTGTACCTACAGCGCCCCCCTCAGAACAGGGGCGCTCGGACGGGCCCCGCCCCCGGGCCAGGAGAGGGGCCTGGGGTTGCCCGAGGTCTCCTGCCCCTCCAGGCCAAGCCTCTTGACTTTTAATCCAACCGCTTTTTTTTTTTTTCTTTTTTTTTTTTCTCCCTTCACGGCTTATTCTAAATGGAGTTACGGAAAATAAGAAACAAAAACACCCTCTGCGCTTGGTTCAACGAAGATAAGGCTGACGTTTCTTTTTCTTTCCTAAGAGAAAACACAAAGGAATTCATAGGATGGATTTAGAATTTTTCAGTTTCTGGTGTGAACCTAAGCCTGCCCTCCGTTTGGTCTGGCACGGGCTGGGGTAACCTTTTCCCAAGGTGCGGGCCTCGGTTCTGCCCCGTCTGAGACACATGGGAAAAGCGTCGACGCCAACCTTGCGGCTGACGTCACGCTCCTGGGGAAATGTCAACACGTCTGTGTGAAAGCGACCATGCACAGCGATTAGGACGCTGGGCTGTTAGGACACACGTTTGCCTTTTCACTTCGGAGAGGAGGTCCCTGCACGTCTGTTTCGGGCTGTCGGTGAGCACGGAGCTCTGGGAAAAACACTGGGAAGCATGCATCCCAGAGAGTTCCTTCCCGAGATGGTCCCGGGCCTGGGCAAGATCTGCAAAGTGGTATCCTCTTTTGAAACGATGTTTCATTAGGGGGGGGCGGGGAGAAGGGGAGAGACTGAGCACCGGCCACTGCCCCCTCCAGGGGAGGGACCTTCCAGCCCCGGCCAGCACCTGGCGGCCCCCGGCCAGAGGCGCCATAGGAACAGAAACAATCGCGGGGCTGCACGCCGACCCTTCCTGCAGGGAGAATAGCCCCTGACGTGCAGAGCCGGCTCCGAGAGGAAACGGGCCTGAGAAGGAGGAAATGGCGAGAGGAAGCTACGCCCTGGCTTTGCCGATAGAGGCCATTGACATGGCAGACAACAGAATGCGGCCGGCGGGCTGCAGATAAACACCCATCTGTGGCCGAAACCCGGGCCTGACCCACACCAAGGTGGCGTGGAACAGGCTGCGGGCTGCAGTCTTCCCGCCCCAGCTCGGGCTGCCCGTAATGAGGCCGCTTACAGTGAAAAGCCTAGCAGGAGACCAAGGCTTCCTTTTCACTCAATTCACGGTGGTCGGGAGGTGTCATGCCTCCCATTGTCCTGAATCCTCTTTCAAAGTGGGATCCTCTGACGTGTCTAAAGCGTGGCCCTGCTAGGTGTGCATGCATGCCCTGGCATGTGATACCCAGGATCTCAGGGAAGCCTCGTCATGGAGTTAGGGAAGTGTTAACCCATCTCACAGGTGGGTAAACTGAGGCTGTGCAGCCGTCCACGGGGGAGCCGTTTAGCACGGACTCCAGAGCTTTCTCCATCCTTCCGTCCTTTAAGCCCCAACGGCCTCATGTCAAACGTGAGTTACAATTTCTAGAATGCCTTTTCCCCTAATTCATTTCGTAACTGAGCCTGTGCCAGTCTAAGCTGAGAGCCTCCTCAAGCTCTGATTTCCTCAAGAATCAGGAAAAGGGTTCCCTCCCGCACGAAACCTAACCTGCCACCAGATGACACACCAACCAACGGAGCCACGCTTCCACATTTTATGAACAAAAGCAGATATAGTTCAGAAGCCCTGAAATCTAAGTTTAACAAGGCAAGTATAGACAAATTATATGAATAAAAAAAAAGTCTTCTATGTATGCATTTTTAATTATGGGTAAATTTTTAAACGGAGACCTCAACAATGCGATTCTCCTTTAGATTTCACTATTTAAACAGTCCTACAAAACCATTTGGAGGCAAAAATATAATTTTTAAACAAAACCATTTGGAGGTAGAAATACACATTTTTTAAAACCACCTGCGACTGGAGGGTCCCAGGTTCAATTTCAGTCAAGGGCATGTACCTTGCTTGTGGGCACATCCTCAGTGTGGGGTGTGCAGGAGGCAGCTGATGGATGTTTCTCAGCGATGTTTCTAATTCTCTCTCTTCCTCTCCCTTACTCTCTAAAAAAAAAAATCAGTAAAATATATTTTAAAAAAAGA